TCTATTCACATTAACCACGAAAAGTCAGGTGTCCAACAACTACTTCCACCTAATTGTCAGATGTAGCCTAGGGAACATCTTAAAGTAGGTCTCTGGCAGGGGCAGTCATTACGTTCATTTATTCAGATTTTTCCGTATCCTGGGAGCATCAACACACAGAGCGACATCACTTTTATCTGTAAAAGTTTTAAGTTGAACATCACCATTTTGAAGTTATAATATATCAAATTCAAATTTAATAATATATAGTCTTAATACGACATTATATTTCCGACGTTACATACGAGACAAAAATTGTAAAATAAAATGTAGCTGTCACTGCATAAGTTAAGTTCATAATAAACCAAAATCCATATTACACATCATTCTACTGTTTCTTTAAATACACAGCAAAAGAGATGAATAATATGATGGTGGAACATAGCCCTCTACTTCCCCTTGCCATCAGTATCCCATGACCTCTAACTCCACCCATTTCTAACTAATTCTGCCACCTTAGTTCTACCTGCCACACCTTCTTCTCTCACATTGCTCGTGTCCTGTGATCTTTTCACGTGCAAATTTTCAGTAACTGGGAGGTTAATCCTACAATAGGACTTGCTGTCTATACATGACTGACAGTCTTCCCCACTGAGGCGTGAAGACCAGATGTACATATTCTATCACGCAAAGAAGATTTCACGTGCTGCCGATTAGGTACTGTAAGTGGTTAGTCCACTTCCGTTAGAACTGATTAGATCGTGATAGCTTTCAAAGTGTATTATGACTGGCAGCGTAAAATCTCAATTGTATTAAAGTGCCAATTCACAATTTTATTTTCCTCAATATTGTTAACTTTAATAGTAATACTACTATTAGTACGTCCTAACTTGTACATATAATGTCAATAGTTAACTTGGAGGCAGGAAGAACTTGATATTTTCAAGTGTTTTTCCTTTTCAACGTGATCTTTAATTTTAAAGAATTAAACTATCTGAATAATAATGGAAAGTACGGCATAAAAAAGTGAAAATGATTAGTTTTCATTAGACGTAATAGTTCTATTTCTAAACTTTATACGCATCTCACACGCTCTTTTAATTTTATGTAACATTAACAGTAGGCCAGACTCTGTAATAAAAACGTTGTAATAACTCCCTCTTCCAGTTGTTTCGGTTATCACGAATATTTAACGTGTATTGGTGCTGAAAGTATTTCACATTTCATAAATTTTTCCTTAACAATGAAAACGCGGATATTTCTATTTAAACAACTGTATCCATATGAATGTAGCAAACCAGAATTAAATTTCACTTTATGCAAAATACTTTTTTTTATAATCGGCTCGCTCTCTATTCTAACCATACTGTTACTTTCATAATATCTCAAATTTATAATTTTAAATTTTGGCATGTGAAATATGAATAGTTATTACTTTTAAAGCTTGAAAATTTCACTACGTAAATTATGCTTCTGTTATTAAACATCTCTCTTTTTTTACATATACTGATATAGGCCATATCTGGTGACTTGAACAATTTGATTTGCTTAATAATACTAACAAGTAACATTTATTTTTAACTCTCGTGTAAATATATTATCTACGCACAAGTAAGTTCATGTACTATCATAATAACACGAAGTTCGTAACTATTATTGTAACACCTACTGTTGGCACCAGTTCAACATGGTTATTAGCAAAAATAAAACTAACTAAAGTGTAATACTAATGACCTTAGGCTTAGCTCTTATTTTTCACAAAATCGATTCGATATTTGTTTGGTATTGATAACTTTTTCATAGCGAGAAATTATTTTACTGAAGTTTAAAATATGCCTTAAAATTTTCTAATTCTATGGATGGATACGAAACTGATAGTTTGCACTGTTCTGCTCATAAAATTAAAATGTCGAAAGAAATTTCATTTACAATAAATAATTTCAGGCTTAAAATTGAATTGATTTTCTATTAAATTAAACTGAAAGTATATTAAATTTTTGTTTGCTTGGTTTAAATATTAGTAGGAAATAAAAATATTGTTTAATTTTACTCCAAAAGAAACAAACATATCATTAAAAAAAGGTAAAAAAACAGCTTTTTCACACCAAAGCACGTGTTTCGAACTAAAAGTAAAAAAACACATTTCGAGTTTCTAGGCCAGCCTCACCCAGTATGAATAATTTATAACTGGTTTACAATTACATTTTTTAGATGCTTTATTTTAATGACTAAAGCTTACTTACCCTATTTCATTATAAAACTGTACCTGAAATTAAACTCCAACCATTTATATCCTATCAATTAAAAATAAAGATTTTGATTTTAAAGGAAAAGGCTTTACTTTTCCATTATCATTTTCGATTCGAAACGAGAAATGGCGCTATCTACTGGATCGAACAAAGATGGCAATTTTTATTGTTGTTTTTATCATTATTAGATAGAGGTTGTACCTTTTATTGTTATATAATCAGATTATAAAATATTGGTATGAGAATATATAGCTTCCGTTTTTGTTTTAATATCATATTAAGTTCACATTTCTGTGATTCCTTGTTTAACCTATCCATACTTCCGGTTTTAATTTTGAATTAATTGTTAACGCCAATTTCATGTCGTTTTTTGGTAAAATTATACATAGATACGATGCAAAAGAAATAAAATAAAGGTAAAAGTTTTACATAAGGTTTCTGTTCTTCTGTTTCTATGGATTGGTTATATCAGTGTAACCTAGTGGCAAAATCATTACTTCATTTTACAGGATTTGCAATCTATCTAAAAGAAACTATCGTAAAAATTAAATGAGGTCCAGACGGCATGTTCAGGTGCAATACCATTTATGGTACAAACTAGGTATGTTGTTTTACTCCTTTCAATTATTATAATTTAATTTTCTGTTTTTTAATATTTTTTTACTATTTTAAATTGCTTAGCAATTTGTGATTCGGAAGAAGAGAATTTTATTTTTATAAGATTCATAATTTCTTTTTAAATCTGTAGATGTTACATCATAATTCTTGTATCATTAGTAAACTAAAACCCCAATATAAAATTTACACCATAAAATAAGGCGAAGTTTTACGATCTACTCAAGCTTTGCAATTTATTAGTGTTGTTTAGTCATTTGGTCAAATATAACTCTCTTGTGCTTATAACGTTACAGTGATGACATGTATTGCTTTTCGGCTTCTTATGTTCTTACCACCATTTGAACGGTTTGAAGATGCGAGATACTTCCCATGTTTAACCTTCGTTATCCCACAGGTGCAGGTCACACCTGGGTGTTTTGACACCAAGCGCCGTTGTTTGTAAGAAGTATCACTGCTTGTCCATCAGTAGAACACGACATATACTTGTAAGTTATCACCTGCAATTTTCCCACCCCTTCATTATTACGCTGTAGAAATCTATTGTATGGTGAAATTCGGAAGAGTCGAGCACCTGGAACCTCATGGTCATAAGACCATGTGCACAGATGTCTTGATCATTTTCTTAGCACATGGATATAGCAGATTGCAGCTGCGCGATATCAATAACATTTCAGGAACTTGGACGTTTGGTTATGAAATCGTGATAATTGATTTTTGTTATTTTCGAAAATGTTCCCTTTTCAGGAATAAGGACAAGAGATGAAACAGGTGTGCCTCGGGAGCAAGAGTTATCTACGTGCTCTCTGACGTATGCTGGGCCATTTTAGGGCACTAATCATTCACGTCATTTACTGTTAGGATGACCAACAAACATTGAATTTTTTACACTTTAACTCATGTTCCAATGGTCAAAATTACAGACCAGTAATCGTACAAGAGTTTTTTTTTTTTTTCATTTCAGTAGATATTGACACTTGTTTGTTGGGTGAAGTTTCACTTTGCCCATCTCAGGCACGATGAGTTGATAATAGTTTGAGATGCAGTGACTAGTTACTTGATTGTAAGTTACAAATGATTCCTGTTTTATTAGCACCCATTCGTCTTTCGCTGAGTTTATTATTCTGAAGTGTTCACTGTTCGGTTTTTCGTTACAGTCTTTGTTTAGGTGGTTGTAAAACTGAAAACCTCATCCAACAAACAAGTGTTAATATCTACTGAAATGGGAAAACCCTTATGTGATTCACGAAATACAGTAAGAATACAAGCTGATAATTTTATGAAATGTTTAGACAGATTCTACATACAAGTATTTATAATTGAAATAGTGAGACCATTTAAGTGCAAACTGGTCATTTCATGAAAGGCAAAATTTGTAAAAATACATTTTCCGCTAAGGCAAATTACTGACCAACCATTTACAAACTAAGTCTTTTAAAAAGCAGATATGGAACATTATGTATATTCATGCATACAGTACAGCTGTCTATTCTATTCTATTTCTTTTTCAGTTATATAAAGCAAATGTATTCCTGGTGAGATTTGTTTGCATTATTGAAACCATTTTTTCAGTAAAATTAAGCAAAAAGGATATAGAGGCGTCGCTACACACTGCCCCGAATCCCTAGTTAAAAAATCGGAATAGAAAACCATGATCGATATCACAATGAAACGCCGAAAATTCCCTCGCCTATGTGTCCAAATCATTTAAGTATCTAGTGACACCTCTGATAATATAATGGAGGATAACGAATTACATCAGCAAGATACAAAAGTTTTTTGTATTTTGTTTCTTTTTATTTTATGACAATTTCTGAACAGAATCCTTGCACTTAAATACAAAGATGGTTTCTTGTGTCGTAAAAGTTAACTGAAATAAAACGATTCTCAGATGTTTTTACCATCAAATTTGGACCAGGACTACTTTTTAAAGGTTCTGGACACATTTGTCCTGTTCGTCAATTAAATTCCGGTCTTTTTCCGTTAAAAAACTAGAACTCACATTTCAACATTTGTTTCACTTTCAAATAATAAAGAAAAATAAGCAAAATTACATAGGTGTTTTGACTAGGTCCTTGTGTGTATTTTGTTTTGTTTATGGTTTAAATATTCCTTTTTCTGTGGCAATAACCAAACACAAACAACAACATTTTGGTCATCATTTTTATTAACAGATAAAAGCCAACCAACGAGGAAAAAACGTGCATATTTGTTTACAATCTACGTAGCTTTGGACAAAAGAAGTCAAACATCAGATTCACAACTGACACTAAAATTACCAATGACGGGATCGTAACGTGAAGTATGGCCTGAAGGTTATGCATCGCTTTAACTGAAGTAGGGTTAGCATTTACCTCATCCTAATACTTAACATCAGCACATCTAAGAAATTTAAGCTTCTTTTAGTAATATTTATAACTTACATCAAATAAGCCTCTAACACTAGTTTTTTTGCAAAATAATAATAATCCCAGCTTTTCAACAAACTTAATAAAACGCACAGGGCTTTAAAAAGGCTAACGAAAAATTTGTTATACTTTGCAAATATTATTATTTTTCTCACAAATAAAACACCATAAATTGTACATTTAGTGTTAATTGAGAGTATTATAAATTGAAAGGAGATTATAGCCACAACTACCACTGATATCAAAGTTCAGTTTAATTCAAATATAAGTTTCTGGAGAGATGTTGAAAATGGAACGTTTTTTCTCCATATTGAAGTGTTGCAACGGATTTGAGGCAACACCTGGGAATCATGTACTTTCGTAGGACATTTTGAAGAAACGAATAGGGAGTGATTTAAAAGCGAAATGTCGTCCTCAGAGCAGATCTGAAGAAAGATTCGTTAGTTCCATTTGAACAGTTATTTCCAGTCTACAGCGTCACTAATCGCTTGCTGAATAGAAAAAAGCAAACTCCTGAATCTTAACGTGATAACTGGAAGTTTCCGGACTTATAATGCTAAAATCCGAGGTTTGATTCCCTGTGGTGGGCAGAGCGCTAAAACAAGCAGAACAAGAGTTTTAATAAAACATTTGTTTATTTGTTTTAGAGCAAAGCCACATTGGGCTACCTGCTGTGTCAACCGTGGGAATCGAACCACACTTTTTAGCATTGTAAGTCTATAAACTTACCACTTAACTTTAACTTAGTTTTATCAGAAAATACGACTTTCTGTACTGCGCTAATAATGTAGGTTAGAGAGAGTGTGGCAAAACTTTGAGCATCATCGACACAGTTTGTAAGAATAGACTTATTCAAATAATTAAAACGTAAACTACATATTTAGAGGTAATATTTGTTTGGTCTTGTTTATTGCGATAAAAAAGGCAACATTGAATTAAGTTATTATATAGGAAATACGTGGCTACTCTGAGTCTTTGTCGTCGGATTTTGTTGCTTTTATTTTTTCTGGACAAAGCAGTGTTTCTGGTAAAAGGTGGAAATTCCGCAAAATAATCACTATAAATAAAGCATAACAACTACTTTAAACGGCTTGCTGTTTACGAAAAATTTATCGTTTTATTGGCATATTAGAATATACTTAAATTTACATAATATTGAGCGTTGTTTAGAAAATCAATTTGAACAGGGAATTAATTAGTTTATATGTGTTCTTTACAATTTTCATAATTGGTAAATATCCGTTTGTCCATCTGTATTCGAGCAGTTTGTATGCAGTATACAGTGTGCAGTATGTAATTTGTAAAAGGGCAAAGCTATCTTTAGAAAGCAGAAGGCCCCAAACAGCTAGATAATCAGATCACAGATTGCATACTAGCGGATGGCGTAGGGGGACTTGTCCCCCAACATTATTTAATTAAGGCCCAAGTTAGGTGCCGAACTGTAATTCTAATAGATTAAAGTTCACATGCTTTGTTGATGGATAAAAATAATTAATACATTTTCGTTTTAAATATAATTTCTAACTCACCAATGCAATCAAAAGATTTTATGCAGCGTAATACCCCCTGGATCCCCCGTTAAATAATAACATGTTAAAATCTTCCTACTTTAGTGAGAAACACTAATAGTGGCATTGTTCTTTACCTTGATCGATCGAGAAAGGTGTCATCCCTCTTGTAGCTGTTAATAAAAATAAATAATCCCGCTACAGGCAAGAAGTGAATAAAATTAGCGATGACGAATGGCAAAGAACACCTTCCGTCACTTTAACGAAACACTTTCAATAGAGAACATCGGTCAGCATTATATAATTACTGTTAGCTTAATCCGGATCACTTGACTGAAATATGACGGATTAAAAAACACCGCTACCAGCTTTGAAAAACTTCCCAAACACGAATATAAGTTTAAAATATATTTCTTTTTGATGAAGCAAAGTAAAAAAAAAAAAAAAACTGTACGAGACGCAGCAAACTTAAGAGGGATCTCACTGAACTACGTAGTTATCATTCAAAATATAAAGAGAAAGGCGATCGTTATGTATGTTATATTTACTTTTTGTTCGCATAATACAGTATTTTGATTCAACATTGTAAAGAGACTGCTTTAAGTGTAAGCAACACACACATTTATATATATATATATATATAAATCTATATATTGATAAAGTTTTCTTTTATAAATTCCTCATTATTTACACTGGGCACGTTACATATAGTTTCAGACGAATGTAGATGAGGGCTAATCTTTTTTTTTTAATTTTAAAAAAGCCACAATATAGACTCTAATTAATAATATGAGCCTCACTTATCTAGATTAAGTTGTCCTGCATAAAGAACGATTATATTTTTATCATCGTTTTCACTGTGGTAAATACATAACAATGTTTATAGTTTGGTAAATACGCAACAATGTTTTACTCCAATAAATACACAACAATGTTTTTACTTTTGAAAGCAAGCAAACATTTTTTTTACTTTGCTAAGTACGCAACAATATTTTTTTTTGGAAGAAATACTTATACGAACAAGAAAACTTGGATATTATCTCTTTTCACTGAATCTTTTACGGAGTTGACTTTTCTCCATCTTCCTTATCCAACTTATGCGATTAAAGTACTTTAATTCATTATAATAATAATAATAATATGACAACGTCTAAGTTTAAGCAGTTTAGCTTTATAAGTTAAAAAACAATTATTGTCAATAAAGTAGCGGAAAAACATTGTGCATTTTTGATATACGATCCTCATAATTCTTTATACTCGAAAATCTTTGTAGTTGAACATCGTTAAACAATTCAACCCATCAACAGTTTCTATGGTTATATATATATACATGTGTTAGTACACGAAATAAAACAATGATATGGTTTGAAAAATTAATCCCTCCAAAACAATTACACCATTTCACCCAGTTTCGTACATTCTTTATCTGAAACGTTATTCCAAAAAAGGAAAAAAAAAAGTAACTTTCGTGAAGAGGTTGTTCAAAATCTTTGGTTAAGATGACGTTTAAGGGTTAAAGTGATAGCCCAGGTTTGGAAATTGGACTGCCCGAACATTCCTTCTTTTTAAGTACTTCTGCTTAAGATACTAAACCAGAGCGCAACAGGACTGAAGCTGCATGTGTTATAAAGCTGGGCACGATGACCAATCATCGTTGGTTAATCATCATCATCAGGAGGAGGGGACAATGCACCAGCATCATCGTCATCATCTTCGTCATCTCGCCGTTGAGCCACCTAGTTTGATAATAAATTATTGATATTTAATAAGTCTTTAAAACAAGGTCTGTTGCGGGTCAATGTCTTTAAAACAAGGTCTGTTGTGGGTCAACATGTACGTTCATTTATGGGAAATAAAGATAGAATTTTGTTCACGAAGAAGTTTAAGATTTAAGCAATATTGATCTATAGCTCACTTTATAACGGTTGACATAAAACCTTTGGCACACATTTTCCTGGGTTTAAAAAAACCCATCTTTGAACTGATATTCTGTGCTTATCTGAAGAATTGTTTGTTTGTTTTGAATTTCGCGCAAAGCTACACGAAGGCAATCTGCGCTAGCCGTCCCTAACTTAGCAATGTAAGAGTAGAGGGAAGGCAGCTAGTCATCATCACCCACCGCCAACTCTTGGGCCACTCTTTTACCAACGAATAGTGGAACTGATCGTCACATTATAATGCCCCCACGGCTGAAAGGGCGAGTATGTTTGGTGTGACGGGGATTCGAATCCGCGACCCTCAGATTGCGAGTCGAGCGCCCTAACCATTTGGCCATGCTGGACCATCTGCAGGATTACTAGTCGGGTCCAGTCCCTATTCGCCTTTTTTAAATAAAGAAAATAAACAGTTCAGTTATTTATACACCACATAGCTTGACGGTTCATGATTTGTTGGTTTCAGAGTCTCTAATAATATAAGTGTCACAACAAACATTAACAAAAATGCTGTAATTAATCCTAATTTGGTTTGAATTTCGCGCAAAGCTACGCGAGGCTATCTGCGCTAGCCGTCCCTAATTTAGCAGTCAAAGACTAGAGGGAAGGCAGCTAGTCATCACCACCCACCGCCAACTCTTGGACTACTCTTCTTACCAACGAATAGTGGGATTGACTGAAACATTATAATGCCCCCCACGGCTGAAAGGGCAAACATGTTTGGTGGGACGGGGATTCGAACCCGCGACCCTCGGATTGGGAGTCAAGCGCCCTAACCACCTGGCCATGATTAATTCCCTTAATTACAGCCGGTGTCCTCCACGTATTTTACATAGAAAATTATTGATTTCACCCAATATCATTAGGTCAGCTCTTTGCAGTGAGCGAAAAACGAAAAAATAATCCAATATGATGTAGGATATTGACCCTAATGGTAGTGGACAGTATGAAAGCAGGTCAGTAATGTAAGGGTTAAATACACTTACTTCATTTTAGTTACACTTTATACACACCTTCATAATAGTTTCGGAGTCAGCCAGAGCTTGCTTGGCAAGGTACCTCTCTCTTTTTATTTTCACTTCCAGGGTCTTGGGTATATCAGGAACCATGATGTCAATCATGCGGCAAACAGTGAGTACTAAATGCTGTTGAACAGGTATATATATGTATATATCTTCATCACTGATCAATAAGATTACTAGAAGGTTTGAAATGATAACAGGAAACAATTTTTAATAATTGTTGACTCCTAATAACACCATATGATGTTGGATATTTAGAGAAAAATAAAGGACACATATTTATCTTAAGTAACAATTATTTTCAATATCAACCACAAAAATACTAGGTTCGCTTATAAAGGTTTATTTTAAAAGACACCTTACGACATAAAAAACATCATTTGAATGTCAGATACTGTTAGACTGTGCCCTAGACTACTGGTATCCGTAAATGTCAACTACTGTGTTACAGGAATTTCAGGTTTTCACAGTCATTTTCACACTGAATACTGACTACTAAATACAATAAAACTGCATAGAATAAAAACAAGTTAGGCTGTGATAAAGATTTTATCTGTAGAACTATTTGTTGTTGCCTGGTGTTGGAGTAATTAAAAGCTTTAATGTATTTTTTTTTTAACACCGAGTATGGTCTCAAAATTGAGGGACGCATCTCTGTGGCTTTTATTCCCAGATTTACTTTAGTCCTGGGCTAAGTTTTTGTGCATACGTTTAGTTTTAGGAGCACCAGATTATGCAAACCTAATTTCATTATTAATAACCTAGAACTGAAAACTTTAGCATAAAAAAAAACATGAAGGTTTTAACTTTTTAGAAGTATAATTCTTAGGTTGAGTCTTTCACAGGGGTGAAATTCTCAAAAAAAATTAAATAGAGGTGGTACTCAGCTGGGCGAAGTGAACGTGTTTTTGAAAAAGAAAAAAACATCTACGTGTATACATAAAAAATGACAAAGCAGCTCAAATAAGTTCCGGTACTAGTACAGCCTTAAAAAGATGTTCCGGTACTAGTACAGCTTTAAAAAAACATGTTCCGGTACTAGTACAGCCTTAAAAATGTTCTGGTACTAGTACAGCTTTTAAAAAAAAGGTTCCGGTACTAGTATAGCTTTAAAAAAAAACAGGTTCCGGTACTAGTACAGCCTTAAAAAAATAAGTTCCGGTATTAGTACAGCCTTAAAAAATGTTCCGGTACTCAGTACAGGTAAGTGTCGGCAGAATTTCACCCCTGGTCTTCCACTTGTATATAACTGTAACATTAAAAACATCATATAAGAGACTTTTTGTATCGTATTCAGGATGTACTCGGTATTCATACATCAGTTATCAAAGATCTAAAAGTTTAATATACTTGAAATGAAACTGATATTTCACAAACCTCAAATATTATGACAAACCCCAGTCGCACGGCCAACAAGTGCCAATAAAACATTGTATGGTTGCCTTCAGAATCTCGAAAGTCTTGGTACCTAAGAAGTGATGGAAAAAAAACCCATTGAAATGATATACACCACAGAAAAGTCTCGGTAACTGATGTTTTATAAATAATGGTAGCTAATAACCAACTTCTGTACAGACATTCTAACCTAATTCCACAATAAGTACTTTTTGATTACTAAGTAGAGAGTCTTCTCAAACTCCAGGATAGGAAAAAACATTACATCTCTGCTGTCAGTATCATGACAATCACTGATTAACTACCAACAGTAATCCAGTGTGTTGTGATCCTGGATTACAACATTACTACCTGTGCTGTCAGGATCATGACAATCACTGATTAACTACCAACAGTAATCCAGTGTGTTGTGATCCTGGATTACAACATTACTGCCTGTGCTGTCAGGATCATGACAATCACTGATTAACTACCAACAGTAATCCAGTGTGTTGTGATCCTGGATTACAACATTACTGCCTGTGCTGTCAGATCATGACAATCACTGATTAACTACCAACAGTAATCCAGTGTGTTGTGATCCTGGATTACAACATTACTACCTGTGCTGTCAGGATCATGACAATCACTGATTAACTACCAACAGTAATCCAGTGTGTTGTGATCCTGGATTACAACATTACTGCCTGTGCTGTCAGGATCATGACAATCACTGATTAACCACCAATAGTTATTTAGCATACGTTGGTGTGAATATGCATTATTAGTTATCTAACATGTTGTGATCCTGGATTACAACATTACTGCTAGTTCTGTCAGGATTATTACAGTCACTGATTAATCACCAACAGTTATCTGATGTGTAGTTATCCTGGAATACAGCATTACTGCTAGTTCTGTCAGGATTATTACAGTCACTGATTAATCACCAACAGTTATCTGATGTGTAGTTATCCTGGATTACAACATTACTGCTAGTGCTGTCAGGATTATTACAGTCACTGATTAATCACCAACAGTTATCTGATGTGTAGTTATCCTGGATTACAGCATTACTGCTAGTGCTGTCAGGATTATTACAGTCACTGATTAATCACCAACAGTTATCTGATGTGTAGTTATCCTGGATTACAGCATTACTGCTAGTGCTGTCAGGATTATTACAGTCACTGATTAATCACCAACAGTTATCTGATGTGTAGTTATCCTGGAATACAACATTACTGCTAGTGCTGTCAGGATTATTACAGACACTGATTAATCACCAACAGTTATCTGACGTGTAGTTATCCTGGATTACAACATTACTGCCTGTGCTGTTAGGATCGTGGCAATCAATAATTGACCACCAACAGATATCTGGTGTATTGTAATTCTGGATTACAAAAAAAAAATTAAAACGTAAATCTAAAGGACTGTTAAAGGTTTGGCACAAAATCTACAAGTTGTGGTTAAAGTCAGTTAAAAAAAAATGTTTTTACACAAGGATTAAATTTTTGCATTAATGTTCTTCTGGTGTGATCCATTTTATTCTTTTAATGTAGTTTTTTCTGTGTTATATATTCAATTTTATTCATCCTAAATGTAAACAATCTACAACTGTTATTTTTCAGTTGTCACTGAATATAATTTTCTTACGTACTTATTTATAAAGACTAGTGTGTATTGTATCATCAGCTGGGTACCCTCGTTATTAATGATATTTTCAGCCGTAATCCCAATAATATCTCACGAGGTTTACGTTAGTCCTGAATATACGTATTAAGCTAAAAATGTAAAACAGTTTTTATAATAAAAAAATAAAATTAAAAAGCAGTAAAATTAGATGCACTAAATATTGTAACCAATACTTTAAATGAAAATAACGAATAAGAAATAGAATATAACTTACTTGCTAAAGAAAGAAAAAAAGTTAATTTCCTATTCGTCTGTGTGGTACTAAAACTCATAACAAAATATTAGGAGTTGAAACAAATAAATTAGATGGATATAATACAAAATTTGAAATGGTATCCTCAGAAGCTACAGTATTTATACTCTACCTCTCTCATCAGGATTAACACAATTCCACAGCGACAAAACGGTCTTAGAATTATATATATATATATGTACCTTATGGTTTAGTGAGGACATGTGAAGCTTGTACAAACCTACACTCCTGAGCTAACGTCCCGTTCGGGGCCAGAGCAAGAGTGAAATTGACATAACCCTCCAAATTCCAGTTAAACTCATACATGTACACCAACTTAGGAAGAAATTCAGATGTAAAGGCGATGAGGAAGGCCTGTCGGGAAAGATGAATTATAAATAACAGCAAAAACAAGCAGGACAAAAAAGCAGTAACATTGTGTTCATTGAATCTGGGGAATCAAAAGCAAAAATTTTAGAACAAATATGGATATTAAGGTAGGTGGTCACATTTTATGCAATAAGCTGGTAAAACGAGAGGTCAATAATGTTTAATGTGTTGTGAAAAGCCCCATGGTGACGAGCAGTTCGTTACTTTCAAAGATTAAAAAAAACAAAAAACATCGATGTTAAATATTAGTGACTGAAAGGTCCAAGGTTTGAGACCAGATGCCGCTGAACTTGTTTTGCACTTTCAGGAAGTTATAAAAGTGACAGTTGAACCTGTTATTAACTTCATGGAGACAAAAAAAAGCCATCATGATGTTATAAAACACCGATGTTGAATATTAATGAGCTGAAAGGTCCAAGGTTTGAGACCCGATGCCACTGAACTTGTTTTGCACTTTCAGGAAGTTATAAAAGTGACAGTTGAACCTGTTATTAACTTCAAGGAGACAAAAAAAAAGCCATCACGCTTGTCTTTCTGCCCCCTATTTGGTCAGTAATTCAAAATTAACGACAACTATACCTGAAAGCACACCTAGTGGCTCAGCAATAAGTCTGCTGGTTTATAACGCTAAAAACCGGATTTTGATATCCGTAGTGGGCACAGCTCAGATAGCCCATTGTGTAAGTTTGTGCTAAATAATAAAAAAACAAAAACTATACCTGAACCTCCAAGGATCATTTAGCCCACGTGAGCATAAGGTGTCGTTTAGGTTCATAATTTCAAATCTAATGATAATTTCGTCTATTCTGAATTGAGTAAAAACAAATGGTGATTTTTGTTGTTATTAGGATTGTGAACTTCAGGAACCAATTAGTACGATATTATACCACCTGAATATATATGTATGTGTCTGTTCTAAATTCCTCAGGGTGGTATCACATCTGTGAGTATATTTTCCAAAGCTTGAAACATACATAAGTGTCTTTCAAAACCAGAAAAAAAGAAAACGAATGTGAAGAGATAAATTTCAATAGTCACGTGATGTTAGGAATAAAGTATAAAACGCCCTAATTCAATTCAAACCTCTTACAGCCTAATATACAGGGTGGCCCAAAAATAACTGTTTTATTTTGAAACGTAATAAAACTATTATTATTAAAAGTAAATAACTGAAACTTTAAAATAAATCTGTACATATTTTCATAAATTCCATAGTCAAGTTGGTACATATAAAAAAGTTTCACTTGTTTACACTTAATAATAAGAGTTTTGCTAAAGCTCAAAATATGTTAGTTATTTCTGAGCACCTTGTACTATAGGCCTATACACTTAAATATATATAAAAATAACGATCAGTTTATTTGGGGAAATCATACATATATATATATAATGTGTAGTTTGTGTTATTTGAATGGTAAATAATACTGAAAGTAAATTAGAGCACATTTTCGCCTCTAACTGTGCAAGATCCTAACTCTCCTGGACCTCCAATAAAAGTTGCATCCTCCTTTTGAAATCTGCAGGGCACCACATATTGGAAAGGTTTAATTTGGACTGGATTTAAAAAATAAATTCTTTTGATTGAGTTTACGTTTGGCTCCTAATTTAACTGAGTGATGTTTCTTAAGTGAATTAAGAGCCAATTAAGAGGCAATGCGAGTAATGTCAAACTGCTTTATTCTGCTGGTGGGACAGCGGTAAGCTTACGGACTTAAAACGCTAAAATCCGGGGTTCAATTCCCCGCAGTGGACACAACAGATAGCCCAGCGTGGCTTTACTCTAAAATAACCAACCAATAATTCTGCTGTGTTTATGATATATCACCTATTGTTTGAGCTAAAGACAAGGTTTGGCTTCTTTTTTTTTTCCTCGCTCAAGCGTTTTTGGAACATTTTCACGTATTGTTTAACCAGACATATACAGGGAAGTGATATGCAGATCAGGATACTGCTAATATTACAAAGATTATAAGGTAGGATTGGAAAATGTGCTGCCTTTAAGGATGTCAAAAATGGCCGGAAGCAGCAGTGATAAAGGATGACACTCTCGTTCTGAGCTGAACTATGGAAAATGAGCTCTGGGAACGAGAGAAACCAGATAAAGGACAGGTTGGTATTTTTTTCTTTTTCAGTAGTGATGTGGCATGCTTTTATGGATTAAAATTTTTTTAAACTAAAAAGTAGGTAATTTCCACAGTTAAGTAGATGCAGATTGAAATCATTGCTTTATGCCACTTGCGTTAGTGTTAGTAAAATCTGTGAGAGATAAAGTAAGGACCTGCTGGCCGCGGTCTCTAGGCGCTAATGTTGCAAGCGCTCAGTCCAGCATACGCTTTTTAGCATTATAAGCCCTTAGGTTTACTTCTGAGTCACAGAGTGTCGCTGCTTAAGTTGTTGTTGTTTGAAGTTAAGCACAAAGTTACACAATGGGCTATCTGGGTTATTCACCACGAGTATCGAAACACAGTTTATAGCGTTGTAAGTCCGCAGACATACCGATGTGCCACTGGGAGGGAGGGCGCTGCTAAGGAAAGCAACTCCAAAAAAAAGAGTTTCGATACTCGCAGTGGGCAGAGCACAGATAGCTCTATGCTTAATGACAAACAAACCCTTAGTGGCTAATAGTGCCAAAATAAAGGTTTCACGATTCTGACATTCAAGCTTTACAAAAGTGAGCACATTGAATTTTCCACTTCACAATTTTTTATTTCTCGACGGTTATTGTTGATGCTGAAATTTTTGAAATTTTCTAGAAAACTTCAAGTGGTCCTAGGATCAAAAGTAGATAAAGTTGGTGAATGAAATTTTGCAGATCTGTTCCAGAGTTGCATTGCGTCCAAAATACGGTAAAACAATTGGCATTTTGTTGTTGGTGAAGGGTAATAAGCATGAATATTTTATGCATAGCGAGCAAACTATGTAAACAGAAAATGCTACAATAGTTTTGTTTCTTATTTTTCCTTTTTTTATATATTTTGGCTACAAAACAACTGTTTTGTTTGATAATCAATCGTATTGATGATAAATTTAGGTACCTGGGACAAAAAATGGTAACACATATATATGTAGCTTTGTATAAACAATATATAAACATTTATATCTTCGAAAGGATATACACCTGAGATAAAAATAGAAGTAATATATATTTTTGTACAAAGAATATAATCAATCTTATATGGTGGTACAAGTAAGAACCTAGAAACAAAGTGGTAATATATATATATATAGCTTTGTATAAAAATTATAATCATCGGTATTATGGCAAAGGCAGACTTTATGAAATTACAAAGGCAGATTTTATGAACTTACAAAGGAAGAGCTTATTGGTACTATGGCAAAGGCAGAGTTTACGAAATTACAAAGGCAGATTTAATGAACTTACAAAGGCAGACCTTATTGGTACTATGGCAAAGGCAGACTTTATGAAATTACAAAGGCAGATTTAATGAACTTACATAGGCAGACTTAATGAACTTACATTGCTGATAACAGCCAGGTGAGCCACAAACTGTAGGATGGTAAACCACACTCCTATGTTCTGAGCTCGTTCTGCCACCGTTCTCCGAGTTTCACACACAAATTTCTGAGCATCTAGCCTTATCTCAACCCAGTTGTTAAGCAGAGCAAAAAGTGGTGCAAGAGGAAAGGCTGCCACAAATATGGTGATGAACCCGAACTGAAGAACTGCCAATATGTTGAACAATTATCGTTTCTACGCTATAAACTTACACTCTTTAAAAAGAATTGAAAAGTTAGTCATTTATACAAAATACAATCAACGTGCATTTATGAAATACATCTTAAGTAGTACATTACGATGACGTAGTTAATACTTGTAACTCCTCCTTCGAGAGAAGTGCCCCCCCCCAGCGGCTCAGCCGAAGGTCTGAAAGCTTATAACGCTAAAATCCGGATTTCGATACCCGTGATGGGCACATCACACACAGCACAGTGTGTAACAAACAAACAATCTGATACTGCAAAAAGCAACAGAAAAATACTAAAAACATAGAAAGCATAATTAACATACGATACCCGTGATGGGCACATCACAAACAGCCCATTGTGTAACAAACAAACAATCTGATACTGCAAAAAGCAACAGAAAAATACTAAAAACATAGAAAGCATAATTAACATACGATACCCGTGGTGAGCACAACACCCATTGTAAAGCTTTGTGCTTAACTACAAAGAAACAAACGAACCATCATACGTAAGCGTGTTCATGAAACCATATATACAATGAAACTGCCGAATAACCTTTTTTAAAAATGAATTTATAAACACCTGCTGTAGTCAAATAAAAAAAGTAAGTAGTAATTAATTTAGGGTTTAAAAAAAGCTGGAGGAAAAGTTATCTTTCAATAAAACAATCAGGCCTTTTTTTTAAATCTGATTACGAAAACGTATGTGATATTCTTTGACATTTACCATTATTTATACGCTTTTTGTGGATAAAAAAAAGGATAAAATTCTTTTGAAGGCAGCTCTTGTTTTATCCTAAACGTAATACTAATTCATTCAGCCACGAATCCGTTAGTTCATTATGGACAGTGTAACAATTTTCATCAGTTCGAAGGGCGTCTGCAAACGTTTATTTTTACATTGGCAGGTATATCGATTTGGAACTTTTAATCTTAAGTCAAATAAGTTCAATTAAATTTGACCCAAGGCCAAAAGCATTTGGGGGTGTTCAGAAAGGTTTTTCTCTTCACCCCGCTCATGCTTTAGAAATAACCTGAGTGACATCGAGTGCAAATCATTGCTTAATAATAATAATAATAATATATTTTTTTTTAAATTTGAATTCATGGGATGATTTTAGTTCTGGGCAGGGGGCTAGGGTAGGTCGGTTCAAGGTAGTGATTCGGTCGTTTGTCCTGGTTGGTTTGGGAGGTTAGAACGCCTTCACTTAAAAAAAAAAAACTAATTTGGGCATCTGCAAACTACAGCAGTGTGCCCTAAATATATGCATTAGCAGTTCAAAACGTCCCGTGTCCTAGTAATTCAAAAACTTAACTCTATCAACAGCAGTAAGCTTAAGAACTTATAACGCTAAAATCCGGAGTTCAATTCCCTGCGGTGGGCACAACAGATAGCCCAATGTGGCTTCGCTTCAAAATAAACACGCAAGAATGACGTTTGTTTACCATTCATTGCCCATCAATTAAAATCTCGTTTGCACAGTGGTCTTGTTAATTATTTAAGTAAATATCTAATTATATTCATATACACTCACCCATCTCCAGATATTCCTGAAACAAGCCTTCGTTCTCTATTAGTTGGTAATCTTCCTCCCATCGAGTTGTTCGGACTTCCATTTTAGTTTTCTTTTTGTGCCACCAGGCTTTTAGTTTTCTAAATGTTGACAGCCGAAAAAATAACAAATTACTAAATGAGTTATTCAAAATTTTAAACATATCTGAATTATCTTTACAACTTAATATTTTAATCAGTGAAAAAGACACTATATTTATAATCTAGAAACATCAGTGAACCAAATCACGAATATCACGAGACTTATCGAAACTGCCAGTTAACATCATTAAGGTTTGGTTGGTTGTATGTTTCGAATTTCGCCTAAAACTACACGAGGGTTAACTGCGCTAACCCTAAATCAGCAGTGATAGACTAGAGGGAAAGTAAATAGTCAACGCCACCCACCGCTAACTCTTGGGCTACTTTTTTACCAACGAATTGTGGGATTGATTGCCACATTATAATGCCCTCACGGAGTTTAAATGTTATCAACGCGTCTTACAAGTAATTAGCCACAATGTTTGGTATGTTTAATTAAATATTTCTTTGATTTGTTTAATAGATGATGTTGACTGGCATGGCCTGGTTGTTAAGGCGCTCGACTCGTAATCTGAGGGTCGCTGTTTTGAACCCTTGTCACCGAACATGCTCGCTCTTTTAGCCACCAAAGAAGGATCTTCTAATCTAGACTTAAAGTTATTGTTTCCAATTTCTTTGACACTTGGTAAGAAAAATAAAAGAATACCCCACCTAATTTTCACTCAGTAGTCGCTAACATTCATTTTTAGTCGCAATCTGCGAGTCGCGGGTTCGAATCCCGGTCCCACCAAACATGCTTGCCCTTTCAGCCGTGGGGACGTTATAATGTGACGGTCAATCCCACTATTCGTAGGTAAAAGAGTAACCCAAGAGTTGACGGTGGGTGGTGATGACTAGCTGCCTTCCCTC